TTCATCCCCAGCTATTCACTGAGCTCCGGGTCGAAAACTAAGTGATTAGTAATGTCTGCAGCAAACCTTACTAATCACACTAGATCAGAAGGGATCTGCCTGCTCACCTCCTCACTGCAGAAAGACAAGCAGGTGAGGGGGCTTCATTGTTTTAATTTACATTGTGGGTGGGGCAGGGGGGGCTTCTTATTTTATGTGTGGGGAGGGGTAGGAAACAGGGGGCTTCTTATTTGATCTGTGTCACCAGAGGGTGCATACGCACCTTCGCTGCACGTCGGCATGGTTACCATCTGACGCTAGGCGGATCTTTCCTCTACGGATGAGCAGTAAAATGTCTACGCTGAGCCTGATGAAGGGGGGACCCTGCGCAGCCCCGAAAGCGCTTGACATTTTGAGTGACTATCATCATTAAATGAATTTGCAGTGACATTTGAGTCTTTGTCGTGCTAGTGACATCTCCATTGAAGACTGTTCTAAGTGCGGCGCCATCCGCTGTCATTGCGAGCACCCAATACCACTTTTGTGCTACAGGACTTGGGACATCTATACTGAGCTTTGGGTCACAGGGGAAGGTTAGTATATGTCCTCCTGTGACCCTAAAGAGAATTGTGGGGGAAAACACTTACCCCATAGTTCTCTTTTCAAGCAGAACTTTACCCATATCTTTAAAATAACAAACACCTTTAGAAATGTTTAGTAATGACAATCTACAAAACACATACTTCTAGATAATTGCCGGCTTTTTATTCTTTGCTTAACTTTTTTCTCTTTTCTTCCCCTGTATTTTCACAGTGGCCATGTTTACTAAGGGCAGGTGACTAGCTCTCCTATTACTTCCTGAAAATTGGCACGTGACTAGACGTGAACATGCACATCATCTCAGGGGAGGAAAATACATTTCACCGAGATGAGATTTCCCAGCAATGCTCTGATGTAACCTTCCCAGGATGCAATGCTTTGGCAAACTAAAGTAATTTTTCCCTTTCAAAGCAGGAAGTGAATGCCCTGCAAGTATTTTAAAATTATAGCATGTTACACCCGACATGTCTGTTATTATTAATCATACATAGGAGGGATGCATTGGTAGAATTTGATTTTTGAGCGTGAAGGTCTGCTTTAAGCTCTGCAGTCATTACGTTTACAAATTTTCTTTAACTTTTTCTTTCAATTTTAAAAGGGTTTTAGGGATATAAATACATGGGTTAAAAGGACACTACAGCTTTGGTAAGGTTACCAGATCATACGTTCATACAATTTAACTATTCCTGGAATCCAAAGTGTCAGACAGTCATATGCAGCTAGCGACAAAGTCATATATCTGTCAAAAACAGGTACATGACTCTGTCACCAGTACAAACTCTGAGTTTGGAGTGCCCTGCCCAGCGACTGCACCATTCTCACAGACAAGCCTAGAGGCTGAGAATATTTTCTGTGGGTGACAGAAAACTGATGGGGAACTTGGAAAGACAAGCTCCTCATCGGGTCTGCCTCCGTGCCCATATTTCAGTAATTATGTCAGCCAGCATCACCAGCCACTTTGTATACATTCAGCTGCCAGCTGGGGAATCTCCCACCTGGTAGTTGAATGGGACTGGGGATGAGTCATTGGTTGCTAGGATGCTGGCAGCCTGGTGACCTAGTAACCAATGATCCATGAGTGGGATGTTATCACATTCAAAACAGCTTCCCAGCACATATATGCCCCACTCTGATCACTGACATGTGTCTGTACTTACCACCAGTTTTCTAATCTGTAAACTGGCAGTAATTCTTTTTTAATCCGTCACAGCCATAGTGACAGGTTCTTAAAGAGGCAGTAATAAGAGCTACCTGAATCTGCACACATCAAAACTGCAGTTTGAACTGAAACCAAAACTGTTCAAAGGCTTTCATGAATTTGGCACAGGTCATTGTTTTTTTTGTTGTTTTTTTTTTAAGAAGAACTCCAGGAAAAAAAAAAAAAAAAAAATCAAAAAACTTGCACATACAATGGGGCTACCCTGCACTGTAAGGGTTAAGTGCTCAGTTTGTCTAGGAGGCTTAAATAAAGCAGGTTTACTTAACTGATCCTCAGTCCCTACCGCCTACCTCCAGGCTGCTAAACCTGTCCCCCGCAGCCTCTTCTCCCCTGGGATCCGGTGTTCTAAGGACTGTTGACATTTCAATTTATACAAGTCCACTGATCTGCATTAGATGTGAGGACACCAAGGGACATTCCATATCCGAAGCAGGAGCCAGGATCATGCAACCAAAACTGCTTGGAGTACTCTATCCAAAATGAACACTTAACCCTTGCAGTATGAGGGTAGCCCCTCTGCATGGGTAAGCTTTTGATTTTCATGGCATTCATTTAAATAAAAAACAACAACAGATACATCCCATGCCACCAGAAAGGTTTTATACCTGCTTCATTGAAATGTCCCCCTATATGTTCATCTAAATCCCCAAAATCCTAAACTGTTCTTGCATCCTTGAAATAGAAATGTAAATTATGCCTTACATATGGGATAACGTGTTAATAGCATACCTGACATAGACCCTAAAAAAGTGCAGAAACAAAGATGTTAGTTTTCAAATTCTGTATTTTGTACAACAAACTGCAATACATCAGACCTGTATTGTTAAAGTCAGTAGGTTAGGGTGATACTACATTGCAAATATGCGTAGTATTTATACAACAGAAATGTAAAATAAACACCAATACTGTTAAACAGACTGACTCAACAAGGCATGATCAAAGTGTGAATACTCCATATGTAGGAATATCCGCTGTCATTTCATCTGTCAACTAAACGAAAGCATGTTCCACAAAAATGTGGTCTGGGCACAAACAGGTTTCTCCTCCCCACCCTCTCCTATTGACTAATGAAAGGCTCACAAACAAGTAATGCAGAACATGCCGTATTTATATACACACACACACCTCGAAATTTAACGCCCCATGTGATTCAACAATGCTTCAAACAGGTGGATAAATACAAACCTTTGCCAGACACCCATGAAGCTTCCACTTTATTATACACACAATGGTTAAACAAAAAATGAATGTGCAATATGTTGTAATTCCAGGTACTAACCAAAAGATCAACTGCACAGCTACTTCAGACTCGAAAAAAAAAAAAAATCAAGTTATGAAATGCTGCTGTCCAGCATGATTCTGTCAGTCACTCTTTCAGGATCTTATCACCAAGGTTTAAGAGAATCACAGGAGTATATAAACATAAAACTGTTACAATTAACTGTGACGTTTCCTTCAAATTCCGCACAAGAAGATGACAACATGAATGGCAGAACACTTTTTAACTAGAGGTTGGTGGGAACATACTTCAATAATCCAGCCTAGCAATTGCTTAACATTCAGGCATGCGGTGAGGTTTTTTTGGATTGGAGATCTGTCCACTTGTGCAGAGCTTAATCCCACCCTCCACCTGCTGGAGACCACCAGTGCCAGGCACCACATTATCCGACTTCCCACAACATAGCAGATAGAGCAAATACCTACTACTTGATCACTGCTCAACCCTACATTCACCCACAAAGAACATGGGTGATAACACAACATTAGAACACTACATTGCTCAACAGAGTAACACAACATTAAAACAGAACATAGATCCACACAGCAACACAATAGTATAACATAAGGTAGATCCAGAGAGCAACATGAGAACGTTATGACACTACGTTGGTCAATAGAGCAACACAACATAATATAAATACACAGATCAACATTATAACATAACAAAGATCTACAGTTCAACACAAAATTACAACATAAGGCAGATCCAGAGAGCAACACAACACTATAACAAAAACATAATATAACATAAAACCAGAGAGCAACACAACATTATAACAAATGGTCATCAGCCTTGAACCTAAACAATTGCCACGTTGTTGTCAATGCTCAATCCTCTACATTGTAATACAGAAGGAAGATGCTGGACTTTTTGCCTTGAAAGATGCGTTTAATAATGTTTATCTGTATACACAAAAGGGAGGAGATGTTGAGCTTGGGTTCTCCAACTAAGCCTGTTCACACTTCAGCATGAGCATTTTCAGGCACTTGAGTATTTTTGTTTTAGCCAATAGAAAACTAGTTACTCCTAGTACAACCTCAAATACTATGTACTAGGAGGAGGAGATGGTAGTTAGGTGCAAAAAAAAAAAAACACGTTAGGGTCCATTCACACTACATGCATTGGGGCTGCGCTGGCCATTATTTCCAGTGCAGCCCCAACGCAAGACAAGCCAATTTGCCTCGCCACAAATGGGCACCATTCATTCACCATGTTGTGGTGGGAACACAGTGGTGTGCGCTTATAAAAACGCATGGCATGCCTTACTTGTTTTTCAACACAGCAAGATGCGACGCAGAACAACTTCCCTGCACCCCACTGTGGACGTAGAACTGAATGGAATATCACTTGACAATTCAATAAAAGAGGGGGGGAGTTTGACACACCTTGTAGTACAAATTGGCCTGTAGAGAATAATTTAATGTTTCATCCTAAGCGTAGTTGCACTTCAGGAAGAGCTCGCCAAAACACTCAGGTGTGAATGGTGCCCTGCGTGCATTTTTCAGTATAGTATAGTAGTTTTTTAAGTATATGGGGCTAAAAACCCACGATTCTACCTGAAAAGGCACAGAGCTACAAAATACACTGAGGCGTGAGCAGGCAGCACTGACAATAATTGTATTCTTTATGTACAGCGTTGTCATGCTTTGGGAGACATGCGAAAAAGCGCTCAGGTGTGAATGTGGGGGGAACGAGCAGACATCAATGGGTGTCTACACATGGTCAGAATACACAGGATCAGGTGTGAGGCAGCATCCCCCAATGTCACCCAGCCAGACAACAGGTTCCAGCAATGGTGTGGCCTTGCTGCATGTGATCCCTTGTCTCCTGGGAGGGGAGAGGACATGGCTGGAACAGTTGGCTGGCCCCCATCTGTGGCCGCCTGCGCACTGCTCTCCCGGGAGGGGCCCTCTCTCTCACCTCGGTGGGTTGGCTGATCTCGAACAGGTCGAGCCGGTTGGCGTTCCAGTGGTTGATGATGTCGGCCAGCTTTCGGCGCTCCTCTTCCCGGCTCCCCATGTCTATGATCAGAGGTCACAGCAACACGAGGAATGCTGCAGCACAATGTGACACTCCTCTCCCAGCGATCTCCCCGGGTGAATGTTATCCGATTCACTGCCACCAGTATATCCACCTTCCCGTCTCAATAATATTCACTGCCCAGACGAGATCATCACTGCGAAGCCATCCTGCTAGGGAGCTGAAATGCTTCAGATTCTTCTATTCCAGACACAATAGGCTTCCAGGACATTGGAGACAGGGATTCCAGTCCGATCAGGTTCACCCTTCCAAGTTGCTGGGCTTCCTTATCTCCTTTTCCTTCCCCTCCTCCTGTCCATGTACATCAGCCTCCTCCTATTTGCACTGAGCCGTGCGCGTCACCACCTGCGCGTCCACGCACCGCGCGCACACCGAGCCGTCCCCTCCTCCACCCCGGCTGGCTCTATTATCTTCTAGCCGGTGTCTGTCCTGCTTTGTCATGCAGGTCTGCGGAGCAGACCGTCACTCCACGGCTCGCTCTGAGTAGACGAGGAGTGGGTCAGGTTTACGGGAATGTTGCAGCTGAGGCCGCCCTTTCTTCAGCACCTTGTTCCCCTGGACTGTTATTAAGGGACGTTTTATCCACATTCACACTTGCGAATGAGGCCAATTGGGTGAATCTCCCAAATTGCTCCGTGACACTCCTGTGAACAGCTGCAGGAGGAATTGTTATGCAAAGCAATGAGTGCGGAGAGCGCCTGCGTCAGTTTGTATGCTGCGTTTTCTGAATGTGCACAGGTTATTGCAGCATACCTGACCCCATGTGAACAGCCGTAGGCGCCGTCCGCTGTCATTGCTTTGCATAGCTCTTCTCCCTGCAGCATGAGTTTCTACAAACAGCTCTTGAGACCTACCTAATCGGTACCATTCGCAAAGGTAACGGCATCTTCCACTTTTTTGTAAAAAATTAATGGATGCACACCTTTAGAAATGTTTAGTAATGACAATCTACAAACAGATACTTCTAGATAATTGCTTTGCATTCTTTGCATCAGTGGCGGAACTGCGGCCGGTGCTGAGCCTACAGGGGCAGAGATGGGGGGGGGCGTCTGTGTCCGGCCGCTCATTACCATCAGATCGGTATGCGGCGGGCCCCCCCATCTCTGCGCCGAGAGTGTCCGTTGATCACATTGGTATCCGGCGCAGAGATGAGGGGGCCCGCTGGATACTGTGGAGGGAAGCCGAGAATAAAAAAAAAGTTGGCAGGCACTTCAGGGGGCAGCCCTGGGCCTCGGCCGTCAGGGCCCAGCAAACAGCCGCCTGAGTGCACGTGCGCGTGGTCTGAGATGGACACAAACACTGGTGTGTTTTTCTGCAGCTTCCCCCACCAGAAAACAGTCAGAAGATGTGAAGGTAAGTTATTAAATAACATTTTATTTTTTTTGTAGCCCAATTGATGGCATTGCTATATAAAGTACAGCTGGTATTTGTAGTTCTATATAGCAGGTCCCATTCTGCATTGCAGCAATGCAGAATGGCACCCTCTATAGAGGACTACAAATCTCAGCAGTACTTTATACCAGTCCCTTGGACTGGTGCTGCAGGACCCGGCCTCTTTCGCACCTCGACGGCTCTTCTATGACCCGGTGTTCTGTCAAGCATGCACCGGCTTCCTATGGCGCGATGGCACGCTTGCCCCGCCCAATTCTGATCCGACATCGCCTCGGCCTTGCCCCGTCCCCTCTTGCTTCACCTCGCCCCCTCCTGCTGGTCCGTCTCCTCTGACTCTTCCACCTCCTCCACCGCTGCCTTCTCGACGCTTTTCTCTGCCTCCTTGTGGACTCCATCCTTTGACGCTGCCGCCTCCTCCGCCGGCCCCCCTGAAGTCTGCCACCCAAGGCCAACGCCTTGTTTGCCTCGCGGCAGATACGCCCCTGTCTGTACGTAAACGATGCCCCCATAAGATGCCAGTATGCCACAGGACCCCAGATATGTACTATACAAAGCAGTATCCATGTACCTTTCCGCACTCCTCACCCTATATCCCAAAAGTAACGGGTGCTCGTAATGACTGCGGATGGCACCGCTCACAAAAGAACTCCAATACAGATGTCACCAGCACCAAGATTCCATGTTAGTGTAAATTAGGGATGCACCGATACCATTTTTTCGGTATAAAGTACCCATACCAAATGCCAATACCAGTGCCTTGTGCCCCAATTATCAGGAAGTCGGGCAGCGGATCATGACCCGTTGCCCGACTTCCTGATTGCCTGTGAAGCCAGTGAAAGAACACCGACTTCAGAGGCATGAGGCAGAGGTGAGTCATGATGTGAACCCGCTTCCTGATTGAAGCCAGCTTCTTAGCCACTTTTTTCTGGGTAGCCTGGCTTTCGGACCAGTCAGGAAGGCGGGCGGAAGGTCATGACTGGCGTCCCGGCTTTCTGATTGGTTAGGAAGCCCAGCTGCCCAGAAAAAAAGTGAAGCCAGCTTACTAGCCAATCAGGAAGCTGGAGGGCGCATCATGGCCAGCCTTCCGGCTTCCCGATTGGCTAGGAAGTTGACTTACATTTTTTCTAGGCAGCCTGGCTTCCTGATTAACTTGGAAGCCAGCGTCAAATTTTTCTAGGCAGCGTGGCTTTCTGACCAGGAGGCTGGGATACGAGTCATGATGTACCACCTGGCTTCCTGATTGATTAGGAAGCCAGGCTGCCTACCAACAAGTGAAGCTGGCTTCCTAGCCAATCAGGAAGCCTGGTGGCGTGTTATGACCCACCTCCTGGCTTCCTGATTAACATAGATGCTGGCGTCACATTTTTCATACACATTTTTCGTGAAGCTGAGAGGTGGTTCATTACATGCCGCCCAGCTTTCTTGATTGGTTAGGAAGCCAGGCTGCCTAGCAACAAGTGAAACAGGCTTCCTAGTTCCTGATACTAGGATCGGTATCGGCACATGCAAATCCATTTATTTATAGTTGTCATTCAAACGACAAGCGCATTTCTGAGCCTGATGAAGCGGACCCTGTGCGGCCCCAAAAGCGCTTGTCGATTGAAAGTCAACGATCAATAAAATGGATGTTGCACTAACATGGAATCAACCCTAGCCACACTTCAAACACCATAAGGCCGCATTTGGCCCTCAAGCTGCAGGTTGGGCACCAGGGTGCTACAGTATATGGTAGTGCAGAAATGCAAATTTGCCAATATGTCCAGGAGATCAGAAACAAACTCTAAAATCATTACATACATATTCCTCAACATATGGGCATGTTAGTCTAAGGCAGGGGTGGGCAAACTCTGGCCCTCTGGCTGTAGTAAAACTACAAATCCCATCATGCATCTGTCTGGGAGTTATGCTTGTGGCTGTGAGAATCTTGCAATGCCTCATGGGATTTGTAGTTCCACAGCAACTGTGGGGCCACAGTTTGCCCACCCCTGGTCTAAGGCTACGTTCACACCTTTGCGCCTGCATTTTCCTACATTTTATTGTGTGTTTTTGATGTCTTAACATGTGTTGACATGCGTTTTAGGGCATTTTTCTGCTTTTTTGTGGTTTGCATCTTTTGCTTGGCCAATGAAAGTCAAATAAAGTAGACTTTATGGGATGGTGCTTGTTGTCATTTTTCGTGCACATTGAAGTCTATGGCCAGGTTTACACCATTTTCCGGACCAGATCTGGAATGCGGTGCAGTGCTTTTTGCTGTGTTTTTACAGCGATTTTAGTGCAATTTTGCCGCATTCCAGAGCTTTTTTTTTAACTCTTTTTTTTTTAAGCTTAAGCATTTATATTTGTTTTTGATGCATTTTAACCCCTTCATGACTGAGGCCTTTTTTTCATTTTTTTGCACCCATGTTATATTCCACATTTTAGGCCTGAAAATTACTTAAAACCCCCACACAAATTTACATTTACATTTTTTTTTTTTTACTTTACTTTGACTGCTATCACCTCCCCCATGTGATAGCAATCAAAGTAAAGTTTAAAAAAAAGCCCCCCCATGTGATAGCAGATGGTGGTGACAGGTACTCTTACAAGCCCCCCCATGTGATAGCAGATGGTGGTGACAGGTACTCTTTAAGGTGATGCTGGGGGTCCAAAAGACCCCCAGTGTATAGCCAGGCGGCGGTGTCCGGCGGGGGGCGGCCCCTTCTTCGGGACACAGAAGCGATCTGGCGACAGGTAAGTCGCCAGAATCGCTTCTGTTGTAAAGCCGACAGTTGGCTCTACAAGTTTAAACAGACTCCCGGCAGCAAAATTCGCCAGGAGTCTGTTTAAACAGCCCCGATGCTGGCGACGTACACTGTTTACTTCGTCAGTCACGAAGGGGTTAATGCTTTCCAGTGCATTCCAGACCAGACAAAATGAAACATACATTATTTTTCTGGTCTGGTCTGGAACGGACTGTGTTGGTGTGAACAGAGGCCAGAAAAAGCATAGGGGTACATTAGGATGCATCTTGGGTCTGGAAACAATCTGGTCTAGAGTTGATGGGAAATAGGCCAAAAATGAGCGTTCATGCACCAAAAAACACACTTTTTCCAATATACAGCAGCTCTCTGGTGTGAACAGGCTCCACAGAAAAGAATGGCAGTCCTCTTATCACGGATTAATGTGTATTGGGCAACGAACGTTAAATTGCATGGGTGTGAACAGCCTTAAGCAGTTTTTGTTTTTTTTTGCATTAATCCCCCTTCAGCCAAGTTCGACGGCGTGACAATGGCCAAAATGTAGGCGAGAAGGAGGTCAAATGCAGGTCAAAAGCAAATGTCAATTAACACTGAATTGTCTCAGAAGCAACTCAAACTGACCGCAAATGCGGGCAAATTGCACTTAACAGCACATCACATTTACCCATGAGCACATGCTCTGGGTGGGTCAGGGGTGGGGTTCAAAGAGACTCTAGCACTTTGCCCTGAATAGATACACTGACAGAGTCTCTTTAACGCCGTTGTAAAAAAAAACGGGCAGCCGGGAGATTCCTGGATGTGAGTGGCCGGAAAAAGACGGCCTGTTGGCCCCACCCACTCACGAGCAGAAAACAAATTAAAAAAACGGTCAGATGCCTGTTTACATACAAGTAATAGCCGGCAGATCACTTGTATAACGTGCCGAATGTGCTCAGCCCCCCCTCCGCTCGTCCCAAACTCTGCTGTGCCCGGTGCGAGCCCGGGACTAGCATAGTGGCTCTGTGACAGGGGATCAGAGGGAGATTGGTACACGATGTCAGGATGC